GAAGAACTTTTTCTTCTCCCTCAATTAGTCATCTGTTTAATTATAGAGCAGCATAATCTTTTATTTATACTATTTATATATAACAATATATAAATATGTATATTATATCATATATATTATATATATACATATATTATAAACATATAATGGAATGCTCAGACGATTTGAACATTCAAATAAAGGCTTTTTTTTTTTTTTTGCAGATTGCCCATATTATCCCTGTCCCCATACATGCCCAGCCTCCCCTGTTATCAACATCACTAACCAGAATGGTACCTTTTTTCTTTTTTATGACTGAATAGTATTCCATTATGTATATATTTAATATATATATAATATGCACTGTTTATATAATATATTATAAACATATATAATGGAATGCTCAGACGATTTGAACATTCAAATAAAGGCTTTTTTTTTTTTTTTTCAGATTGCCCATATTATCCCTGTCCCCATACATGCCCAGCCTCCCCTGTTATCAACATCACTAACCAGAATGGTACCTTTTTTCTTTTTAGCAAGAATGAACACATCATTATCAACCAAGTTCCATTGTTTTCACTAGGGTTCACTCTTGGCGTTGTATATTCCATGGGTTTTGGCAAATGTGTAATGACATATAACCATTATTATAATACTGTACAGAGTATTTTCACCACCCTGAAAACCCTCTGTTCTCTGCCCATTCATCTCTCCGTATCACCTTGCAGCAACCTGATCTTTTTATCATATCCATAGTTTTGCTTTTTTTTCCAGAATGTCATTTATTTGGAATCATGCAGTATGTAGCCTTTTCAGACTGGCTTCTTTCACTTTGCAATATACATTTAAGGTTCCTCTGTATGTCTTTTCATGGCTTGATAGCTCATTTCTTTTTAGAGCTGAATAATATTTCATTGTCTAGATGTATCACAGTTTATTTATTCATTCACTGACTGAAGGAAACTTGGTTGCTTCCAAGCTTTGGCAATTATGAATAAAGCTGTTGTAAATGTCTGCATGCAGATTTTTGTGTGGTCATAAGTTTTCAGCTCTTTTGAGTAAGTACCAAGAAGTGTAATTGCTGGATTGTATGGTAAGATCATGCTTAGTTTTTTAAGAAGTTGCTAAACTGTCTTCCCAAGTGGCTGTACCGTTTTGCATTGCATACCAGCAGTATGTGAGAGTTCCTATTGCTCCACATCCTGGCCAGCATTTGATGTTGTCAGTGACTGATACCAGTGTCTTGGTATCTTATTGTTTAATCTGCATTTCCCTATGATGCGGAGCATCTTTTATTATGCTTATTTGCCGTCTGTGTATCTTCTTTGCTGAGTTGTTTGTTAATGACTTTGGCCCATTTTTTAGTCAGTTATTTTCTTATTGTTGAGTTTTAAGAGTTCTTTGTAGATTTTGGACTATAGTCCTCTATCAGATGTGTCTTTTGCAAATATTTTTTCCCAATTTGTGGATTTTCTTCTCATTATCTTGACATTGTCTTTTGCATAGCAGAAATTTTTAATTTTGATGAAGTCCAGCTCATGAATTCTTTTTTTAAAAGATTTTATTTATTCATTTGAGAGAGAGAGAGAGATGAGGGGTGGGGGGGGAAGAAGCAGGACACCCCTACCCCCCTCTCCACTGAGCAGGGAGCCTGACATGGGGCTCAATCCCAGGTCCTGGTGATCACGACCTGAGCTGAAGGCAGATGCTTAACCGACTGAGCCACCTAGGAGCCCCTGAATTATTTCTTTAATGGATTGTATCTTAAAAAGACCAAGGTCATCTAGGTTTTCTCCTATGTTATATTCTAGGAGTTTTATAGTTTTGCATTTTATATTTAAGTCTATGATCCATTTTGAGTCAGTTTTTCTGAAGGGGGTGAGGTCTGTGTCTAGATTCACTTTTTTGCATGTGGATGTCCATTGTTCCAGCATTATTTGTTGAAGAGACTATCTTTGTTCCATTGCATTGCTTTTGCTCATTTGCCAAAGATCATTCGACCATATTAGTAAGGGTCCATTTCTGGGATCTCTCTTCTGTTCCATTGATCAGTTTGTCTATTCTTTTGCCAATACCACATTGCCTTGATTACTGTAGCTTTGCAGTAAGTCTTGGAGTTGATAGCCCTGGTCTTCCAGCTTTGTTCTCCTTCAGTATTGTGATGGTTATTCTGGGTCTTTTGCCTCTCCATATAAACTTTAGAATCAGTTTGTTGATGTTCATAAAATAACTTTCTGGGATTTTGATTAGGATTGCATTGATCAAGTTGGGAAGAACTGATGTCTTGACAATATTGAGTCTTTCTATCCATGAACATTGAATATCTCCTCATTTATTTAATCCTTCCTTGATTTCATTTATCAGAGTTTTGTAGTTTCTTCATATAGATCTTGAACACATTTCGTTAGATTTATACCTAAGTATTTCTTTTGGTGGGGGGGATGCTAATGTAAATGGTATTGTTTTTTCAAATTCCGTATATTCATTGTTGGTATATTTTTAATTGAGAACACACTCTCTTCACATATGTTGAGGTACGTGTTAAGATCATAGAGCTGCTCTATGGAGGATATTTTCAATTCTTTCATCTATCCCCCATACTGAGCTATTTAAATGTTTCAGTCCAGACATTTTACAGGGTTTGTCTTTTTGCCTGGAAAGTACTATCACTCCCTTCAACAAATATTTTTACAACACAGAACTTGTCAAGTAAATTGTCTGTATTTATGGTTCTTTTGAATGTTTCACCAAGTTTCGTTGCTGCAATATCATTGGGCTTCTCAAATTTCACTTCAGTTCAGTATAGAATATGCCTATCCCATTAAAAAGAACTTGGGCGCCTGGGTGGCCTAGTTGTTTAAGTGACTGCCTTCGGCTCAGGTCATGATCCTGGAGTCCCGGGATCGAGTCCTGCATCGGGCTCCCTGCTCAGCGGGGAGTCTGCTTCTCCCTCTGACCCTCCCCCCTCTCGTGTGCTCTCTTTCTCTCACTCTCTCTCTCAAATAAATAAATAAAATCTTAAAAAAAAAAAGAACTTAATGAGAAGTTTCTTCCCACAAGTTAAGATTACCAAAGCATGATTACAATATTTCAAAGTTAAATCTTGTGCAAATTAAACCCATCTCATATCAATATTTTACTAAACCAAAAAGATTCGGGACAAATGCTACATCAGGATGCTGGGATAGCAGCATAACCTGGGATGATCCTGGCCAGGACTCACTCTGTAAAAGGCCTTTCAGGATCTGGTCCAGCCTCATCTCTATAGTCCTCTCCCTGCCAGCTCTTTGCTTCTGTAGACTCATGCGGAGCTCCACTCTTTTGCATTTCCTGCTGCTCTGCCTAGAAACTCTTCCCTTACTTTCTCATCTGGCTAATTTTTCCTTATTCTATAATCCTAGATTTCTGGCATCATTTTCTCTAGGAGCCTTCTCCTGATCCCTATGAGGTGGGCTCTGCCCTATTCTTACTGTAGCCCTTCCATGTTGCACTGTTTTTGTTCAGGTGTTTCTCTTTCTTCACCTTTTCAAGACACTTTTTGTCCAATGTCCTATTATTTAAGAGTCCTCCTCTTTGCTTCCTATGGTGACAGTTATTGGATAAACTGATTTGTGCTAGGTGATAAGAGATTTTGATGAATGGCTTATCTGCTGCTTGAAAACGTATTTGTATATCACTGAGGCCCACTGGGGCAGTGGTCTTCAGGTGGATGTGCACACATTGGGTATTGTGCAAGACCATTTGTAAGGGTGTAGGCAGAAAACGTACTAGCTTTTATTTCTATTATTTTCTTGAGCAAAACTAAGAAATTAAGGTTTTCTAATATTTAATATTTTGGTTGAGAAAAGTGCATATATATGACTTTATAATCTAATGTGACATTGGTGATGTGTACTGATTGACTGAGTGCTCCATTATAAAAATTGGGAGACCCTGCTGTAGAGGCATGCTGACATCCCCAGCAGATATCTCTTCCAAGTTTGCTGGCGCTACAATGATTTACATTTATCAAGTGTTTCCTACGTGCCAGACACTGCTCTGTACGTACACTTTCTAGGTATCAACATACTTATTCTTCACGACCACCTTATGAGATTGGTACTATTATCAAAATGCTCATTTTATGGATGAAAAAATCAAACCCAGATAATCAGGTAACTTTTTCAAGTATAGAACTGGTGGAGTCTAATTCCAGAGGCCACTTGCTTACCCCCTGCTCTGTATTGTGCTCTGCTCTGGTGTCGGTCTGTTCCTATAGGATAGACACGTGTGGCTTCCAGGAGGACCGGGACCATGTCTGTCTTGCTCATTGTGGTAAATACTTCATAAATATTCGCAAGTATTTCTTAAATGAAGGAACTGTGAGGGTCCCTCCTCACCTCTGAATTCATGTCACTTAAATCGGAACTTTGGATAAGTACTCTTTTATTTTTAACTTGAAATATTTTTTCCCTTGAAGTAATTAGATTGGATGAGAAATTGGCATGAGTTAAGTTAGCGGTCCTATGTTTAGAAACTGTACATGAAAAGAAGTCTGCATGACTCTAATACCAGTGAGTCAGTTAGGAGTCCCAGCTCACCCCTGATGTGACTAATGCCTTCCTTTTCTTCCTTTATCATGAGGGTCTGAGAACATAAATAAACCTCAGCTTCTTTTTCAACACAGATTGAAGTGTCCCTCCAATGTGTAGAACCTTAAAGCAGCAACAGTGACAACAAAAATGCTAATGGAAAAGAGCAGCAGAACTTAAACTGTTTTTTTTTGGGAGGATTCACCCACTGATGGCTTTTCAAGTCTGGCTCAGCTTTCCTTAATTCTTTGGCACGAGGTTGTGTAGTAATCTCTCAGGTGTTCTGGGCTTTAATAAAATTGTTTTGTTTTGACCAAATAAGTTTGTGATTCTGTAAGCTTATGATTCCTTCTACATCTGAAAGAGTATTAGGAGAGTCTTCGGAGTTGTGTATTATATCATCATATTCAAATTATGACTCTATTTTCTTCCCTGTTTTGCTTTTAGGCTCTTTCAAGACACTTATTCTTCCATCAGTAAGTATCCATTTAAAAAATTTGGTTTCAGAAATATACATTGCATTGATCAGTGAAACAATTTAACATTTTGTTGACCTTTATATGAATTTGCATTCCTTGTGAGTTTGGCTTGAGTTCAGTTCCACCTTTAGATTAAGAATACTGTTACTTCAGGGAGATTGGTCATCAGCCTCTTCAAAGTCATAGCAGAGATTTTCCTCTTGTAAAACAGGGAACTTCACTGAGGGAAACTGGCCTGGACTATTGCCACAGACACCTGCATCTGCCTTAAAGAACCTTAGAGTTTAGAGGGTGTAATGAACACTCTGTCCTTCAGTTTCTCCGTCCCGGAAGAGTGGAGTGCCCCGCTGAGCCATATTGAAGGCTGAGGCATTGATGATACTGATCCTGTCTTTGTTTAAACATTTTCTTTTTTTTGGTTCATAATTTAATTTTTTGCATTACTTCTATTTTAAATATTAAAAAATTATTTATCTTGATTACTGAATTTTTTTGTCTCCTCCTTGAGTTTTGCACCTGAGGCCAGGGCCTCACCCACCTCACCCTTGTCCCAGCCCTGGAAAAGGGGATAAAGAAACTGCCTCTGTTTCACAGGGGATACCCCAGAGGTGAAGTAAGATGTGAAAGTGCTGTAAAATTTGCTATAGAAGTGGAAAGGGGTTATTATTTTGAGAAAGTCATAAAACCTGATGATTACATGCTGTTTGTGAACTGATCCTACTTGTCATAGCTTTGATTTGGGAGTTTGTACTTTTATTACTGTGTTTTGTTTTGGAGCTTCACACTTTGAATATACAATAGAGAACGGTGACCACGGCATCCAACAAGAGATGCCATTTGGTATACTTTTCTGAGAATAGATGACTAATGACTTTGTTAAAAAAACAAAACTCAGCCTAGTAAATTTGAAGATCTAATTGGCTTTATTAAGCAGTTGGGCAGGATCCCATCTAGCAAGTAGAGGGGAGCTCTAGTTGTACAATGTGGAAGATTTTTGTAGGAAGGAGGGTGGGGCAAGGAAGTTATTAGCAAAAGAAAAGAAAGGATTGTTCCAGGCAAGGTCACCTTCCCTTAGGGGGAAGGGCATGGGGTCTTATCCTGCAGATTACCTCATCTTCCTTTGGCGGTGGGGTGGGGATGGAGAGGGCCCATGTGACAGATTACCTCATTGGTGCTTGTCAGAAAGTTCCAGATTGATTGGCCCAAAAGTAAACTCCTGGAGAGGTTGAAACTGCAATTAAGTCTTGGTTTGCTCTTCTGGGAGCAAACTAGTCCACCTTGGGCCTGTGGTTTTCTTTTGAACAACTTTAGTCCTGACACTTTACATACTTAATGTAGGATCAGCATTACCTGATGAGCCAGGGTTCCCCATTTCCTCCATTACTTATTGAAGGTTATTTATGAAACATATTCAGAAACCACATTCCTTTCTCCGGGGGGGGGGGGGGGGCCGATCCTAGAGAATACAGTGCTCCCAAACAGTAGTTTATAAAAATCACTTATATCCCATACTGCTGTTTCTTACCTACTATGTTTGTGCTTTTCTTACTAAGAAATATAATTGCTTTTCTACTGTTAAATAGAAAGTAGGGAAAAAGAGGCAAAGCAGGTGGAAAGGGGGGGAACCCAATCTCATTGATAATAAAACGTGACATTGCATTCATGTACGCTTAAACATTAGATGTTGGCCATATGCTGTTGAAGGAATATTCCAATGAGAAGATTAAAATAAATCCTGTGTAATACAATTGTCCTACAGCAGAAAGATTAAAATAAATCCTGTGTAATACAATTGTCCTACAGCAGAAAGATTAAAATAAATCCTGTGTAATACAATTGTCCTATAGTAATACGATTGTCCTACATTTAAGTCCATGAACCACAGTTTATTTTTTTATTTTTTAAAAATAATTTATTTGAGAGAGAGTGGGAGAGCACGAGGGTGGGGAGGAACAGAGGTAGAGGCACACTCCCTGCGGAGCAGGGAGCCAGGTGTGGGGCTCCATCCCAGGACCCTGAGATTATGACCTGAGCTAAGGCAGACACTTACCCGACTGAGCCACCCAGGCGCCCCCAGGAACCGGTTTAAAATACCGCTGCCTGGTTTCATCGGAGAAGCCTGCAGGTGCACAGGCTGGAAATGTAGAAAGGCTGACCAGAGAGGGCATCAGGCGGGACGAGGGCGCCTGGGCTTGTTCCAGTAATGTCAGTTTATTATAAACTATACTCGTCTAAACTGTCATGAAGCTGGAATTTGGCTGCTATGATTCTTTTAAGTCTTACCTATGTGAAATATGAACTCCAACATCCTGTATTTGTCTTTAATATTAATGCCATTTCTATTGTTGTAGATATAGTGCTTAACCTATGAGAGCTTTACTAGAGATTATATTTAGAACTATATCCCTTTTCGAGTAAAACAGAAATTTAAAGGCTTAGTCATAAAGTATCTGGGAAAATGTGATCATGCTTGGCAAAAATAAAGTTCTGTATTGTTATGAGTTTTCAGTTAAAATAGACCCAGCTTTTGGAGTGTGCACTTGTATTCTGATGTTTGTAAATGTAATATTTTAAATTGTTTTTTAAGGTTCTCATGAATTTTTGCTGTAAAATATGAATGTTTACTGTATTGAAACAAATGTGTTTTTAATATCTGATTAGCCCATTGTTTCTACTTTTGATACACTACAAGCAGCTTTTAATAAGAATAAATAAAAAAATTGATGCTTAATATAAAGATTATTTTTTGCACAAAATATGCTAGGAGAAATTTCTTTGATTCTCTCTGTAAATAAGTCCAACTTAAAATGAAGGAGTGGCTTTTAAAAAAGTTAGAAATGTTTTTAAAGTTTATTTTATGTCTAATATTTAAAAAATAATATTTTTAATAGAAACTGTCATCTTAAATTCCTCAACTGTATTTTAAAAGTTATTTGAAATCTCCACTACTCTTAGTAACTAGTATTATTAATGAAATAGAGTAGGATAAATGCTGTTGTGTTGTCTCAGTTTCCTTGACAACTGATCTTTTAGAGAAGGTAAAATGGTTTTAGTTAACCCAGATTAGTTCCTTACCCACCAAGGATCTTTTTAAAATTTTTATTTATTTTTATTTTAAAGTAAACTCTGCCCAATGCGGGGCTCGAACTCACAACCCCGAGATCGAGAGTCACATGCTCCACTGACTGAGCCAGTTACCCCCACCCTCCCCACAAGGACCTTTTTTTTTTTTAAAAAAGATTTATTTATTTATTTAGAGAGAGTGAGGATGAAAGAGAGAGAGAGTACATGAAAGGGGGGAGGGTTAGAGGGAGAAGCAGGCTCCTCGCTGAGCAGGGAGCCCGATGTGGGACTCGATCCCGGGACTCCAAGATCATGACCTGAACCGAAGGCAGTCGCTTAACCGACTGAGCCACCCAGGCGCCCCTGCAAGGACCTTTTTGAGCATACCTTCCTTTGATACCCTGGGCAAAGAGCAAACATTTCCTCAGAAAATTTGCATTTATGTATACACATGAATACACAGAATACACTTTGCATAACGAGAATCTTACGCCCTGAGCATGCCCAACTCAGACGCTCGTCGATACTTTGCTGATCAAAGCCCCGTGATGTTTCACACTCCCTGACTCTTGGCCTTCTGCTAGACAGTGTCATCTGTGGGAATTGTCTCTTTCTCCAGCCATCTGCTCTCAACATACAGGAATCCCAAATCTCTGTGGGTAAATAATTGGTTCTTGTATAAGAGATCTGGAAATCTCTGATGAGGGAACCTCTTTATTACCAATCCTGGGAAGTCTTTCAGTAATTGTGACCCCAAGAAGGCAGAAGGCAATTGATCAGCAGAGATTCAGGAGCTTTTACTTCTGGGGTCCTCTCCACTGTGGGGAGCAGGTTACAACCCATCCTAGGTCTGGTACAGAGAGAAACTTTTGTAGAGATTGCTTCCAATCCACGGTGTTTTCTTCAGTCTCCTCATTCTGCCCCTCTGCTGTCATCAATGGAAGGCTAAGGTCTCTACTACGGCTCGGGAGCTGTAGTACCATGTGGAGTCTGCGGGGGCACCCGAAGGCATATAGTGATGCCCCGTGGCTTCTAGAGTCACCCCTGGTCTACAGATATACCAAGTTCACTTGTCATCTCTGAATTTCCAGCCCTGGGATTAACACTGAGGCTTTGAGCATCTTAAATTATGTAAATCTTACATATGCGGAGGGGGAGGCAAGTTTTCTAATGGGGCAGTTGAGAAAGCAAATTACTTGGGGTAGCTGAATGGAGCAGAAAGATACCTCTCTTCTCGTGAGGCAGTGCCAGCTCCCTGAAGGAGGACAGAGTAGGGCATGGAGAGAATGTTTTTGGACACATTTTGTGTTGCATCTCCTTTAACTCCTTGGCGTTCTTGTGATTAATGGGCCTCTTTAGTTTTGGGCCTCTTCATCTTTAATTTGCCGTAAATCTTCAATCTACTATCTGTTCTGGAGCCTAAAAATGATCAAACTGTATCCAAACCATGAAAAGCAATCCTATCAAATATCATATTTTAAACATGAAGTATTTATGAATCTTTGCCATATGCCAGTATATGATATGCTGGCATAGATCGTGTCCTGCTTTTAGCATTAAAATATCTATTTAAAAGAATCTGAGAGCCGAGGTATCATTTGAGAAAATTGAATATAAGAATGCAGGTTCCAAGGCTAGACTCCCAGCCCTACTAGGGCACACATCTTTGGTTCATGTTTTTTCCCAAGGACTTAGAACAACCTGGAGCTAGAAGGTGCTCAATAAATGTTTTTTGAAGAAAAGTAGAACTCGACACTGGAGGTTATTTGAATGTGATGCTACTGATTGTTTTTTCTAACTTTTTATTAAGAAATTTGCAAATATACAAAAACCTGAAGGAGTTTCTTAGTGAACACTTCTATACCTACCACTCAGAATCTCCCATTAACATTTTACCATATTTGCTCTGTCACATGTCTATCCATCTATCTGTTTCTCCAACCATTAATTCATCTTATTTTTTAAATGTATCTCCAAGTAAATTGTGGACATCAGTACTTATCTCCCTAAATATATATATATTTTAAAGATTTTTATTTATTTATTTGACAGAGAGAGACACACAGTGAGAGAGGGAACACAAGCAAGGGGTGTGGGAGAGGGAGAAGCAGGCTTCCCGCAGAGCAGGGAGCCCGATGCGGGGCTCGATCCCAGGATCCTGGGATCATAACCTGAGCCCAAGGCAGACGCTTAAGCACTGAGCCACCCAGATGCCCTCCCTAAATATTTTTTGCTGACCATTTTATTGGTGCTTTGTTACATTTCCTTTGTGTTCTTATCCATCTTGCTAGCTTTCAGGTAGCTGCTATGACTGGAAGATCTCCAAGCTTTCTGTGGACAAAACTTATTTGCAAAAATGAGTCAGAATTTAGTTTTAGAACCTCAGGTTTAGGGGCGCCTGGGTGGCTCAGTTGGTTAAGCAACTGCCTTCGGCTCAGGTCATGATCCTAGAGTCCCGGGATCGAGTTCCACATCGGGCTCCCTGCTCAGCAGGGAGTCTGCTTCTCCCTCTGACCCTCTTCCCTCTCATGCTCTCTGTCTCTCATTCTCTCTCTCTCAAATAAATAAATAAAATCTTAAAAAAAAAAAAAAAGAACCTCAGGTTTATTAAGGCGAAAACCAACTGAAAATCAGGTATGCTAGTCTATTGTGTGACCGATCATCCCAAAGCTTTGGCATAGAACAGTAATAAACTTCTATTGCTTCTCACAATTTCTGTGGGTCAGGAATATGGGAACTGCAGAGTTGGGTTGTTCTGATTTGGGATATTGCAAGGCTACAGTCAAGATGTCAGTTAGCCTTGCAGTCACCTGCAGGCTTCACCAGGGCTGGGGTTCCTCTGTAAGGTATCTCATTCACATGGCTATCAAGCTGGTGCTGGGTGTTGGCGGGAGGCCTCAGTTTCTCCCTTTGTGGGCCTCTCCACAGGCTTCTTGAGTGTCCTCATCATGGCAGTTGGATTCCCCCAGAGAGAAGAATCCCAGAGAGAAAGAGAGAACCAGGCAGAAGCTACCCTTTCTATGACGCAGCTTCATTCTCTTCTTGAGAAGCAAGTCCCTAAGTCTGGAGAAGGTGGCTCTACCTTTGGAAGGGCAGAGAGTTGGAGAATTGTCGGACATGTTTCAAAGCCACCGCACGGAGGCTTTTGTTAGAGTAGCATAGCTCATCATGGGTTTGCATCTCTGCTCGTGACCTGGAGCGACTTCCCAAACTCGTCCAAGCCCCAGTTTCCTTGTTTATAAAACGGTGTTAGAGCACCCGCCTGAAGGATTGTCGTCAGGTGAAATGATACAGGTCACGTAAACTGCTGAGTACGGCTTCGGGTCTGTTCCTGCTGGGAGGTCGGAATTCTTTTAGTAAGTGCCCCAGGAGAGCAGCCGCGCCCCCATCCTTCCCGGGACCATGACCTGTGCTGTGCAGGGTGCAGGAAGCGCGTGCGCGGTAGGAAAGAGCTCCAGAGAGTACAGCAAGGAAACGAGTCTTGCACAAATGTGCTTTTCACCAGTTGACTGCTTCAACTAGGGAGACATGGAAAAAATGTTGAGAGATACTAGATATTCCGACCCACGGCAACCGCGAGGAAGAACTTGCACTTGGAATAGGAAATGACAAGGTGACTGCTGCTGAGCCCTCCATTCCAGGAACCCTGCAATTTAGCTGGAGAGAAAACTACAGGATGTTAGGAGGGAAAACAAATTATTTAATGTTGGTGCCTAGGAGGGGCGAGTTTTTCAACATGGCAATTACTTTTAATAGTACTATGGATTTAAATGTTCTAGTCTGACTTATAATTAAAAACACTTTTGAGGTAAAATGAGAATGTCATTTGTCTGATCTCTTTATTTTCTCCAGCTACCTCTGAACAGTGCAGACGGGATTTATGAGCTGCATGTAACTGGACGGGCCCAGGATGAGATTTTATTCTCTAATAGTACGCGCTTATCGTTTGAGACCAAGAGAATGACTGTCTTCATTCAAACAGACAAGTCTCTATACAAGCCAAAGCAGGAAGTGAAGTTTCGTATTGTTACACTCTTCTCAGATTTTAAACCTTATAAAACTTCTTTAAACATTCTAATTAAGGTAAGTGCCAGAGAGAAATAAAGTAAGTTCAAGTCATCTCACTAAAGCTCTCTTTGAAGTCTTGCTCATGTTATTTTAGAATTCACCATGGGTAACCTTCCCTCCCAACACGAGAGCGCTCTCTCTTGGAGGGGAGATGGTAGAGCAATGGGTTCAGAGCTTAGGCTCTGGAGTTGGCCAGCTTGGGCTCCAGTCCTTGCTTCTTCATCGATTAATTCATCTGTTCAAGATTTATTGAACTTCTGTGTTCAGGGCCCTGGGACGGGGCAGTGAACAGAACAGATTAAATCCACTGCTCACATCAAGCATATATTTCAGTGAATAGTGTGGAGACAGACACTAAATAAACACATAAATATGTGTCCTGGGTCCTGGGTGGCTCAGTCAGTTGAGCATCTGACTCCTGATCTCAGCCTGGATCTTGATCTCATGGTTGTGAGTTCCAGCCCTGCATTGGGCTCTGCTCTGGGCAAGGAGCCTACTTAAAAAAAAAAAATGTATATAAAGGAATTGAGGTGTGTGTGTGTGTGTGTGTGTGTGTGTGTGTAAGAAAGTATTTGTTTGCTATTTTCCCTAGGATTGTTAGGCTAGTCCTATTTGAGCAGAGACCTAAAGGAATTTAAGGAATGAGCCCATATACAGGGAACAGCTGTGTAAAGGTTCTGAGGTGGGAACTTGCTAGGTGCACTGGAGAAAAAGAGGCTGATAGTGTCTCAGGGAGTGAGGGGACAATATTAGGAGATGAGGTAAGATGTAGGTGGGTTGGAGGAGGGGTCATACAGGGTCTTCCTGATCATCATATGGACCTTGGATTTTACTCTGAGTGAAATGGGAATTCACTGGTGAATTACGAGGACAGGCACAACATGATTTGACTTAAAAAAGGATCACCGTCTGCCCTAAGGAGAGTAGATGCTAGTTGTGTGACCTGGAGAAAATTCATCTCTCTGAGCCCTAGTTTCTTTATTTCTAAAATGCGTAATAATAGGGGTGCCTCGGTGGCTCAGCCATTACACATCTGCCTTCAGCTCAGGTCATGATCCCGGGGTCCTGGGATCGAGCCCCGCATCAGGCTCCCTGCTCGGCGGGAAGCCCGCTTCTCCCTCTCCCACTCCCCTGCTTGTGTTCCCTCTCTTGCTGTGTCTCTCTCTGTCAAATAAATAAATAAAATCTTAAAAAAATAAAAAAACATGCATAATAATAATATTTATTATTATTAATTATTAAAGGTTTCTGTGAGATAATCCAAGGAAAGCATTTAGAATTATGCCTGACACATAGTACATGCTCACTAAACATTAGCTCTTATGTTTATGGGACTCTCCTTTGGCAGGGAGTCATTTGGCCTCAGCTCCAACAACACTGATGGTCTGGAGGCAGCATAGTTAGACTGAATGCTTTCCTGTGAGAACCAAGTTGAAGACAGTTGAGATCCAGCTGGACCTACTTTTCTACATTGATGCTAAGGAGAATATGAGACATTTGATCACTTCATAGAAATAGGGTGGTGACAACCCATCCCAGTTTTCCTGGGACTATCTTGGTATTACAACCAAAAGTCACCGGTCTTGGGAACCCTCTTGGTTACCCTAAGGGTTCTGATGAATACCATGGAATGGAAGTCAAGTTCAGGCTTTTTTAGTTCAGTATCTTCTTACTCTTTTTAACTTCTTTGTTGTTATAAATTAAACTAAAAAGCAAACAAAAATCAAATGAACTTTAAGCCAATTTGTGTTTGTAATAAATACAACATTGGTCAGCATGGCGCTCAATACATATTTCTTGAATTTCCAAGAATTGCAGCTCTGTGAATTTCCGCTTTTGCTATGTATTGGAATGTCTGTAAAGGAGGTTGACATAGTGAATAGCATTTCTTTTTTTTTTTTAGAGATTTTATTTCATTTTATTTATTTATTTGAAAGAGAGAGCACAAACAGGTGGAGCAGCAGGCAGAGGGAGAGGGAGAAGCAGGCTCCCCACTGAGCAGAGAGCCCTACATGGGGCTCGATCCCAGGACCCTGAGATCATGACCTGAGCCGAAGGCAGATACCTAACAGACTGAGCCACCCAGGCACCCTACTGAATAGCATTTCTAAATTCAAGTAGCTCTCTAAGCAGGGTTTTATGGATTGCACTCATACCATCTTTCAAATCAGCATCTTTTTGTTTCTGGCTGTTTCTATCCAGTCGGCCTCGTTCTACCTGTGGTAATAAAAGTCAGCACTGGATAAATTGCCTGCTTTAGGCATTAATCCAGAAATAATCCTGCTGATGCTGGACAAATTCTTTACAGGAGTTTGTGAGGATTAAGTGAGATAATTTAAGTAAAGCATTTAGAACTGTGCTGGTCTGCGCATTTTTATTATTTTGCCTCTCTATGCTGCTTTAGGGTCTGCCTCTGAAACCTTCAATTTGTACTCTTGGGCTCTTCTTTCCAATTTTGAACTTAGCTTGCCACATTTGACTTTCTCAGAAGCACTCAGAGAAATCTCTCATCCTAGTGGCCTGGCCAAGATGTGGCCCTCTTGGCCAGGGGAGGGGAGTTTACACTTGTTAGAAATCCACCTGGAACCAGAGTGTTTGGGCACAGGTGACTGGGCGGGAAGCCATCCTCTGCTCTGTGCATCCAGGCAATGAGGCTGGGGTACGAACTCAGGTCCAGCCGCCTCCTTCCCTGTAACTTGCGGCCAGATCGGAGCTTTGATGCCCACACTGCTGTCCTCCTTCATCTGAAAACAGTCATCTGGGCCAGACTGTGATGTTTTCTCCATTTTTCAGTGTGGAATAGTTGGTTTCTTGGCAAAACTTCCCAGAAAAAAAAGTAGAACTTAGAAAAAGAGCCCGACTTGAATCCATTTGTACTTGCTAGTACAGCACCACCTGCAGGATACGGTGGAGAAGTGCATCTGATGGCTAGGAGGCTGACTTCTCAGGACCCATCTGGCCCAGTCAAGACCATCAGTGATACTGTCAATAACGATGGAACGGGACAGATGGTAGCTACACTTGTGGTGAACACAGTGTAAGGTGTAAACTTGTCAGATTGCTAAGTTGTAAAAGAAAAAGAATGGCTGTAGGATGTAGCTAAAATATTGATTGTCACAGCATATTCAGGGGTGATCAGTGGGTATTTTTTGCCTTTTTTTTTTTTTTGGTTATTGGGTGTTACTCATTTTGCCTGCCTCAGTAACTGACTTTCTCAGGATGCAAGGACCTTCAGAGTCCTTTGGCAGTGGTAAAAACATGCCCTAATTCCGGCTTCCTCCAGCTAACGTGGGCTAATGCTATGGAAATAAGCTTCTTCGACCCTGGCCTGGCAGCTGGCTCAGCTGGCTTATGCCCTGACTTCCTTCTTGAAGAAGGTGTTGCTCTTTGTCCAGGTGAATGACCTTACCTGGGGAGAGGTGTTGTTGCCTTGGGGAGATACTTTGTGATTGTGGCCTGGAGGAGCCGTGGCAAAACCAGGACGTCATCCCTGGTGGGGTGAGGAGGCCGCCTTGTTTAAGTGATTTGACTTCTCCAGTTCTACATGCTAGACAGACCCTGGGTGCATAATCCAGGACTCTAACGAGTGGCAGAAATTCTCCTTGGGGACACGTTCTCCAGCCAGGGAGCTTATTGCTGGAGACGGTCTGGCCCAGGCATCTGATACTGCGCTGAGCTGAGGCACCTGACAGAGATCCAGAGCCATCTAAAGGTGACTCAGAGGGCACAAGGGGCCACGTTTCCAGCCCCTCCAGCCTGTGGCTGTGGTGGCTGTGCTGGGGACACTGTTCACATAGTACCTGGCTGTCCTGTGTGTGACCTCGCTGGGTTCTGCTGTGACACCACCATGCATGGCCCACACACATCCTGATGTGTGAAAACTTCTGGTGTTTCTACATTCTCTCTGTTTTTGGTGACAGTTAGGCCTAGGTCTAAGACAGGCTTGAGCAACCAGTGAATTATCTCATTCACTCCCAACCCTCCAGATCCTCGGGGTACAAAGTCATCAAAGACTCCATTTAGGACTTCCTTTGCTTGTAGGGCCATGGCCCCACCTGGGAGAAATGTAAACCCTCACCAAAATAATGCACCAGCAGAGTACGAACATTCCTTTCCCGACAGTTTATATAACACTGGGAATTATTGTTATTTTTTCGTTTTTGTCAGACGGACAGAAGAAAATGGTATTTTTTTTTTGTTTTCACTTGCATTCCCTTAATTATTAGGCAGCATATATTTATTAGCTATTTGTAGTTTTTCCTTTGCTTAAACTCATGTTTAAATGCTCATGTGTGGGTCTCCCATGCATCATGCTGTGGCAGGCACAGGAGAACTGACTGCTGATTACAATGCCCATCCCAGGAGTTTGCCAAGGATGGTGACCTGCTTAGTCTTGACTTGCTTTTGGTCTTTGGTTTTAACAATTAGTTTCTGGCTTACTAGACTATGCTTTACTCAGTTCGCAGCATTGTACTTACCTCTGACTTTCACCTTCTCCCCCACTCAGGAAGAGAGGTTTCTTCTGGCTTCTAGTAACTGGGCTAACCCACTACCTCTCGTCAAAGGACAGAGAATAAGAATAAGGGAAAATATTTGATCCCTGCTCTCAGGAGCTCACAGTCTAGTTGGGAACAAAAAAACCCCATATATCACCCATGAGTACCTTACGCAGTAATATGTCTCAAAAGGGGTAAACTCTAGGTATACTAGGGGCTCTCCAGGAAGTGGCCATTTCATCTGTTGGTGGTGTGGATAGGAGGCAAGACACTGGACCTCATTGCATCAGTTGGCAGGAAGGGAGGGCATTCCATGCAGCAACTATAGAGGCCTAGATGCAAAGGTGAATTGCAAGCAAATCTGTATGTTTGGAGGAAGATGACGTAGAAATGTAGATGGAGTCAGACTCCTAAGTTCCGTACATCATGTAAAGGAGTGTAGACCTCATTCTGTAGGCAAACAAAAGCCAGCATCACCTAGTGGTCCAGCATAATGATCATAGCCAGGGTGTCTTCACTGCCTGTTGTATGTCTGGAACTGGACCAAGCATGTTGACCACTTTGCCTCAGTCTGAGATTTGTGTTTCAGATGGATAACACTGTCAGCAGTGGGGAAGATGTCTTGGAGGGGCTACACTGGAGGAGGGAGATTGGTGGTAGTGGTTAGAAAACAGGGCGTGGTGGCTGGATGTGAGGATGGAAAGAAGGGGATAAATTAGAGAGAGATTAAAGAGACGGAGTTGACAGGGCTGGGAATGTGAGAGGAATCGGGATGGCTGCTGGATTGGCTTGGATGAATGCTGCGTGAGGGGATCGTTGTCTGGGAGAGTCTAGGAAGACTGAAATGTTTTTCATGCATCCCCTTGGCTGATCATCTCTGTGATACATTTTGTTGGATTAAAAGGCACATGGGTTTGAATCCTGAATTCACATATTACTTACAGTTGAGCGCTTACCTAACCTCTCTAGGAATCAGTTTTCTGCTATAATGTGAGGACATTCCTCCCCTGGAGGAGAATTATAATGATTTTTTAAAATTTTTATTAAAGATTTTATTTATTTGTTTGACGGAGAGTGAGCACAAGTAGGCAGAGTGGCAGGCAGAGGGAAAGGGAGAGGGAGACTCCCCACTGCGCAGAGAGCCCGACTTGGGGCTCGATCCCAGGACCTGAGTGGAAGACAGACGTTCAACCAACTGAGCCACCCAGGCGCCCCAGAATTATAATGATTGAGGGATGTGTGAGTTGTAATGATAAGACAAGAGTGCTTGACATGTGATGGGCCTTGAATACACAAGGCCTGTGATCTCTACAGTTAACAATAACAACACAAGTTTGGTGGTGTACATTGTGTTCCATGTAGAAGGAAATCTGGTACCAAGAATTAAAAGGTGGAGCAGAATAAAGATGGAGAATATGAGGAAGGAAGAAATTTTGATTGTCTTCTGTCTAGTAATATATAGCCAACATTTTCCAAAAACTATCTCTGTTGCCATATTTTGGATGTGCCTGGGAGTGCTGCAGGGCATCATTCATAACCAGATAGGATACACATGTACAAAGCTGTCTTTATACAGTTAACATGTATGGTTTTCATTGTAGGACCCCAAGTCAAATTTGATCCAACAGTGGTTGTCAGAACAAAGTGATCTTGGCGTTGTTTCCAAAACTTTTCAATTGTCGTCCCATCCAATACTTGGTGACTGGTCCATTCAAGTTCAAGTGAATGTGAGTATAAACGTATTTTTAGGGGGAATGCTAAAATGATTTAAATAGGTCAGGTAAGGAAATATCTTCAAAGTCATTTGTTCAGTGAACAGAAAAATGTTAATCTGAATATCTAGACAATTTAAGTGGTTTATTTTTAATTTACTGTGTTTATCAATGGGTCAGCTTTCATTGTAACATACTAGAGTTTTAGTCATTACTGCTTCTTTCTGTAATACAATGTATGAAGGTTAAAACATTGCCTTTTAGTGTAAAACTGATTAAATAATGTTTATTTTACTTCTTTAGTGCATACGTTGAGTATTTTAAAACTAAGCAATGAATACATAGTTATTATTTGGCAGATTTCATCCCTTTGAATAATGACTCCTGATGAGATTGGACTAACCTACTTTATCTTTGTTTTAAAAAACACAGTGGTTTTCGGAGGTGGGTGGGGGGATGGGGTAACTGGGTGATGGGCATTAAGGAGGGCACTTGAAATAATGAGCACTGGGTGTTATATGCAGCTGATGAATCAGTAAATTCTACCTCTGTAACTAATAATACAGTATGTGTAAACTAAATTGAATTTTTTTTAAAGATTTTATTTATTTATTCATGAGAGACAGAGGGGGAGAGAGAGAGAGAGAGAAGCAGAGGGAGTAGCAGGCTCCCAGGGAGCAGGGAGCCCGATGCGGGACTCGATCCCACGACCCTGGGATCCTGACCCGAGCCGAAGGCAGACGCTTAACCATCTGAGCCACCCAGGCGCCCTAAACTAAATTGAATTTACATAAAAAATTAAAAATAAAAACCACAGTGATTTTAAACAGCCACACTCATTTTCCCAGTCCCCAGTCCTCCTTGTCTCCAACTTCTCCACCTACTTCCTTTGTTCACCGCCAACTTTTGTAGCTCTGAGACCTAACAGGGCAGGTGCACAACGCCCTCCTCTCTCTGCCCTAGGTTCTGTCCTGCTCATCACTGTGTGATCTTAAAGACTCATTGAATATTTTCCGATTTTCTTTGGTATTTATTAAAAAATATATAAATGTATGAATAAGAGCTTTTAAAAATAGTTCTATTAAAATAGCTTCTCACTGCTGACATTTTGGACAACAGCTCTTTGCTGTGGGCATTGTCAGGTGCACGGGAGGATGTTTAGCGGTATCTCTGCCCTCAGCCCACTAGATGCCAGGAGCAGCTTTCTCTTCCCTCCGAGTGTGACAAACGCGTGTGTCTACAGACATCGTCAGTGTCCCCAGGGGAAAATACCCTCTCTCTCCAGCATTGAGAACCACTTTATTAGAAGGAATAATCATTCATTAGCATAGGACCTTAAGTGAGATAAAAGTACCAAGTGCTTCATCAATAAAAACTAAAAAAACATTTTCCCCTTTAGTTAACACATTTTGGGGTGACATCCTGAAAGCAGAACTCGTCCCTCCTCGCCAGCACGTGTTTTGAGCACCCACGTAAAGATGAAGAGTGCCGTCGGCCTGTGGAGAGGTGGTGCTGTGGAGGGAGACACGTGGGCAACAAGAGAATGTAGAGGGTGTGCGGCGGTTAGCGGGTGATGAGCCCTGAGGGCACCAGACATTTGTGCTTACAGAGGAGGAGGAGAGTGGATGTTTGGGAGACTTCAGAGAGAGAAAGCTGTGTGTAGAGGTGGGGAAAATGCAAGAGAGCCTCACAGGTCTGGGGGCGTGGGGAAGTCTGGTGTTCCTGGCATGCGTGGAGGAGGATGGGAGCCGAAGATGAGGACGTACGCATGAGTTTGAGGGCGTTCGGGGTTTATTCTCAGTACCCACCTTTGATTTCACTGTAAACTCTCCAGGATCAGTTGTTTGTTTATCCATCCGTCTGACCATCTTTCCATCTGTCCCTCTGTTGAATATGTGGTGCGGGCTTATAAGGCAGTGGTGGATACAAGGAAGTAAACGCGCGGGATCTCTGTCCTCGAAGACCATCATGTGCTGACAGGAAGAGAGGATAAAAGCTGACTACCTCGAGCGTGACAGAAAACCCAAGGCAGCACAGCAGCGGAGGGACTGCAAGGTGCTGAGTCAGCGAGGTCCAGCGGGTGCTTCTAAGGCTGCAGTCTGACTGGGACCAGCGTGGGATAAAGAGGGTTTATTGTAAGGATGAGCGCTGCTGCTTGTGGGGACACGGCTCCCTCCGTCTCTTGTGGCCTGTGTCATTCTCTCGTTCTTCTGCCAACCTTTAAATCCGAACCAGTTGCAGTGGCTCCGCTAAATAACCAATATCTCAGAGCCCTACAATCCAGCCTCTTCACCGGTGGCTGGCAAGCTGTGGACGGGCTCCCTTTCGGTCAGGTGTCCCCTGTTGGCCCATTCAGAGGCACCTCTGCACGCTGGCCAGGTAGGGTGGCAGCCTCCAAGAGGTTAATTTGTTCAGTGAGTGGTGAACAGAATACGTACCAGAAGAGAGAGGGCGATAGAATGGTGGAGAAAGACTTTGGAAGATGTGAGATCATAGGTTGGAAGATTTACAGGTTTTCTCATGCCGTGGTTTGTGGACTCGACCTGTCATGTTGCTTTGGTAGGAAAAAAGACAAGGAAATGTAGGTACTTACAAAATTCAAATCGTTGATGAGATTTGGCCTTTGCCCACATCTAAAGCCTTGTTAAGTGCCACCCTTATCCTTGAACCCTTTGCTTTAGACATATTATGTCCTTTACGTTTCTTAAACTCACAGTTCTGTCTGATCCCAGAGTCTTCCCCATGCTGTTCCCTCTGCCTGGAACACTCTTTCTGCTGTAATTCTAGATGCTTGCTTTTGCCCTTCGGGCATCATCTAAAATGGCCTGATCCCTCTAGACATCCCCAGAGCACTCTGTGCTTGGTTCATTCATGTCACTTTTAACTGGTGGTACCTTGACTGTGGTCTTTTGGGGCTTGTTTGCATCTGTATCTCCGTGACTTAGCACATGTTTTGTGCTTGGATATTAGTCAGTATTTATTAGATGAGTGTATTAAAGCTCTATGATAATCATTTGTATTGAACTAAATATAATTTCTCCTTTTCCACATTCTGTAAAGCATCTTCGTCTTTTAGAAGACAAGTATATTGATCGGGTACTTACTGGTGATTTTTTTCCCTTAATTTTATTGAGGTACATTTGACAAATAAAATGATAGGATATTTAAAGTGTACAATGTGATTATTTGATATATATACACGTTATGAAAGGATTCCTTCCAGGTGACATAATGTAAAGGCACACACTGAGGGAAAATAAACACTTTTATTTTAAAAAAAAAAAAAAAAGGTCCTTTAAAGGCCGCCAGGGGTCAGTATAATCAAAGAAATGTTATGGGGAGCAAACCCAGACTCAGTCTTTGTCTCTGGTTTTTATCTTTCCTTGACTCCTGCATAGCATTCAGACTGTTTATTGGTTATTATTAAACTCTTTTTTTCCCCCCAGCAGTGAGTAATGACTATGGTGGAGATGTATTTATTATTTAAATAGTCCACCACGGTAAACTATATTTTCGTTTTTCTAAGGCAGTGACCATTCTCAGTATAAATCTCAGGGAGGAGAAAATATTTATTTCAGAAGAATGTTTGAAATTCCATTTGTTTTTAGAAAAAATATGGAACAATCCTAATATTACACTTATCAGAGCTTTGATTTGTAGTGACTGTGCAGATTATCAGCGTGGCATTCTTAAATCACCCTTTTTGCTAGGTCAGAAAAAGGATCCTTTAGGTAGAGCACATTTGGTGGGTTCCTTGGCATTTCTACAACTATAAAATGTACCTTTATGTGAATGAGTCATTTACTATATGCTAACCTTTCTGGATTAGTTACATTGCTTTTGACCTTCAAGTATTGGTTTTCACTTTCAGGATTTTTTTATAATGAGTAATTATTTTGATTTAGTAAGATTTCTAAGTTTTTGTTCTTATTTTTATCTTTTTATTGTGTAGCATATAATGGTAGAGCATAGTAAGTTCCCTATATATTCACGGACCTGCTTTTTCTACAATGCTAATTTAATTAAATTGCAAAGCTGCTCTTGATGATGATAACTTTTAAGGTCTTTTAAAATTAGTAAAATTTAGTAAGAGCACTGATTTTTTTTTTAAAGATTTTATTTTATTTATTTATTTTTAAAAAAGATTTTATTTATTTATTTGACAGAGAGAGACACAGCGAGAGAGGGAACACAAGCAGGGGGAGTGGGAGAGGGAGAAGCAGGCTTCCCGCTGAGCAGGGAGCCCGATGTGGGACTCGATCCCAGGACCCCGGGATCATGACCTGAGCTGAAGGCAGACGCTTAACGACTGAGCCACACAGGCACCCCTAAAAGATTTTATGTATTTATTTGAGAGAGAGCACAGGCTGGGGGAGCATTAGCCAGAGGGAGATGCAGGCTCCCCGCTGAGCAGGGAGCCCGATGTGGGACTCGATCCCAGGACCCTGGGATCATGACCTGAGCTGAAGGCAGACACTTAACAGACTGAGCCACGCAGGCATCCAAGAGCACTGATTTTTTATGTGTGCTACTTATGCATGTACTGAATTTGTATACCTGCCTGGAATGTGGACAGTTCCTTGCTGCGTTGGGGACTGTGCTTCTTCTCTTGAGAAGAATCACCATCCTTTCTACCTCTTCCAGCCTCCTGCCCCAACATCCTTTCTCCCTTAACTTCCAAGGGCACTGTGACCTCCCCTCAGAGGGAAGAAGTTTATTTTAGCTGTAATACATCTTCATAGTAATGTGTATTACAGAGTTGCTATATTTCAGATACATTAGAGAACAAGTGGGGAAATGTGCTCCAATTTAAAAATCATCTTACAAATATCCCTTGGGCAGATAACTTGTGAAAGTTAGACGTTGCTTGTATTTTCGTTTTTTTTGGTAATACTTCTCTAGGTGCCTTATCTCTCTAGGTATCTATCTCTTGACTGGTATCCTTGGCTTTCCCAAATAGTTACATATTTTTTTTTCCATTTTTTAAAACTGTGGTAAAATATATGCGGAATTTA